ACTTTCAAAAACGAGCTAATGTTAAGAGAGCCAGAAACGCGGCATCAATCCTTGGAATCGCGTTGGTTTCGATCAAAAATTGACTGTCAACAAGACACTTCTATTGAAAAAGTTGACATTCACAGTTGCCAATGCGCAATTTGAGACATTGCAATGTCAGTTTTGACAAATTGTGGAAAGCTGTCAACGCGGGCTACATCCATTGAATCGAGGCGCTACTTGTCAAAATTTGACAATCAACAACATGCATATAAGGAAAGAGTCGACGTTGACAGTTTCCAGAGCCCACTTTGACACATCGCAATGTCACCTTTGACACACATTATTGGCGGATTGTTGCATGATATGAGATATTGACGGGAAAAAGTGAATCGGCCAACGCCACTGGATGAGTACCTGCCGCCCGCTACCGTGGCGAAGAACAGGTTCCGTCAACCTGCCGGGGCATCAAGTGGCGGGCCCGTCGAAGCCCCAGATTGCCCCGGAGCGGCGGTCTCGACGCTCAATCCACTTCACAACACGGGGAATTCGCTCGGTTGAAAATGAACGAGAGAAAAAAAAGGAAGCACCAGAAGAAAAAACCCAAGAGGAAATTGAGCAGGTTCATCAATCCTCGGCGGTCACCCTGCGCTTAAGAACCCTGCCCAGTTGCGGAGCGCTAATAAGAAAAGGTGGGGCCCCAGCTAGACAATATATTTCACGCACCGATCGCTAATCATCGCCTGCGAATCTTTCGCCACCATCTCGGAAGCAATTGCTTCAATTATTGCCATCTTGATGGTGGCTGCGGTGCAGACAGGAAAAAACCAGTCGATCGCGACTGCTTTACATCTTCACTGAGAGGGCGGCGAACAGTGCACGCACCCTCTGGGCGAACTTGGAGGACGTTGCGAAGTCCTTCTTCAACACTTCCAGAATCGAGCAGGACGCTTCCAGTTCGGCGCGTTCTTCCGGAGTCAACAGCATCAGCTTGAGCACCACTTGGGCCCGATACAGCCCGTACGGGCTGTACTTGTTCCAATGCCGCTGCAACGTTTCATAGCTGAAGAGCTGGAAGTTGGAAGATATTTTAGTTGGCTCAAATGAAGATGTACAGAATGGAGGACCGGCTGGAAAATGTTTTGAAGTTCCAACTTTAGGAAAAAACAAAATTTACTACACGAAAACACTGGGAATGGTGAAATGGGGAGGCAGTTTAGGGGTTGAAACGGGTTTTTGCGAATTGCGGCAAAACCTGACCACCTAGCTGAAGACCTGCGATGGCAAAGTTGTGGATAATACAAAAATCTAAAATTTTTGTTTCTAACATGTTTTGACATAACTTCAAATTAACCGTCAAAATTGCCAAAACCTATTTTTCAATTTTGATTTTTTTTCTCGCGCATAAATGGTTTAACCTACAAGAAAATTTGTCAAAATATTGTACCGTGGATGGCCAAGTATCAAACTCTTTCTTCAGCTTCCAACTTTTATTCACCTCGGTATAACTTTAAATACGGAACAGGAACAAACTAACTTTAAAGTTACCAGAAAAAATTTAGACAATTTCGAAACCTTGGTCTATAGAAAACCTACTCATACTAACCGATATTTGAATTGAAAAAGGTAACGTAAAAAGTCTATATAGAGCAAAAATAATTTGTAATCAATCTAATTTTTCCAAAGAAAAACAATTTATAAAAGGAATTCTAAATTTCAATAATTATCCAAATTCTTTTATTGAAAAATGTTTTAACGAAATTGAATTCCCACGGACAAAACAAAATCAAAATAAACCTATTACGAACCTTTTCATTCCATTTATTCCAGGACTTTCAGATCAAATTAAACGAGTAGGTAAAAAATTTAATATTAGGACTATCTTCAAAACTGAAAATACAATTAGAAGTAAAATTTCAGTAATAAAACCTCATGATATAATTGAAAACACAAAAAATGTAATTTATAAAATTCCTTGCTAATGCAATAAATTTTATATAGGATAAACCTCGAGACCATTATACACAAAAGACTCAAAGAACACCAACCATACATAAAAAATAGAGAATATCATAAATCACACATTTGTCAACATGCATTGGATAATTGCCATAAAATTCAATGGAATAATTCCACAATTTTAACAAAAGAACAATCCACAGAAAAACGTAAAATTAATGAAAGCGCACTAATTTTACTAAATCAAAATAATTGTGTTGCTTCATGTTCATTTAATTTAAGTCATACATGGTTATCTATGCTAAAATCTGAAGTAG